TTGTTTATATTTCACATTGAAAAATACTCTCCCATACATAAAAAATCATTTTGTGCATAATACATTCTTATTTATTTATTGTATTTACTTAAATATTGTACAATTAAATATTTGTACCCTATACATTCGATATGGTTGTAATAACTTAGATTTTATTTCCTTGTCAAATATCCCCCAAATTCAAACTTGTATCCCCATCCCCATAATCATGTTGTAATAATTTAGGACTTTAAATTCTCGCACATTTAAAAATTTCCAAATTATGCCATGATAGACCTAGGGTTTGTATGCAAAATCAATCAACAAATAGCTTGACCTAATTCAAGATAAACATGCATGAAAAACAAACACAATGCACACTTGCATCCTTAGGGTTATTCCACTTGTTGCCTTCAAAAAAAAGGCCATGTTTGCATGTCAGGTACTTTGGCAAAACAAAACAAAATAAAAACAAATCAAATGATCATAGTCCCTCGATGACGCTATCTTGTTGCCTAAACAAAATGATCATAGTCCCTCAAGAAAATTTCCAAAATACTTGACACTATTGCATTCATGGTCTAAACGATGACCCGCGCCCGTCCCGTTAACATCCTAACACAAGGTTGTTCACCAAATACAATGGTGAAACAACACTGTTAAAAGGGTTAAAACATAAGAAAGATCTTTGAGAAATTTAGAGTAGATAGCTCTTAGTTACTTGATCAAACTTGCAAAACACACTTGCCATTTTCAAACACACTTCACAAACACAACCTTCAAAACAAACTTTCAAAAACATTGAAACATCTTTTCAAAAAGACAAACACCCTTGTAAAACATTCAAACAAGAATTGTTACAACGGTTGCCTAGACAAGGCATCTTTTTCAAAACATTTTCAAAAACCACACGCAAAGCACCATTTCAAACAATTGAAAAGCAAAGGCAAGTGATCTAAGCAAGTAACTAAGAGCCCATGGATAACCATGGATAGAAAGGGTGCTAATACCTTCCCTTTCTATAATCTACTCCCCGAACCCACGAAAACATCTCAAAGGTTTTTCCTGTGCTTTTTAACCTTTCCTTAGGATAAAATAAAAAGTCGGTGGCGACTCTTGCTAAACCGAAACATTTTCGAACACAAACGCAAAACCTCAAGTCAGTTCTTCCACCGTATCACACCAAGGATAGTAACCAAATAGTCCAAGTCTCATTAAAGGTTTTTATGGTTCATGTTGATTATTAGGTGTCTTAGAAGATAAAAGAAAAGCTCAAGTGAGCAAAATAAAAATGACATGAAATATAATGCTTAAAGTAAATGGTATACAAAGCATAAAAAATAAAAGCATAAAGTGATAACAATTTAATAATTAGTGGTTAGTTGGATGACCATCTTGAAACTTCCATTTGGAACTCATTAGAGGATTGGTAGAACCAAATCTTCCATACAACAAGTTGCATTTGCTTTTTGTCAAGTATATCATCCATTTGGAATCCTCAAAAAGTACTATTTAATGATCAACGATGTTTAAGTGATTTGCGTTGACCAAAAGTGTTGTAGATCCATTATAGAATTGGTAGAACCAAAGTCTCCACACAATGAATCTCAAGGTTATTGGATCAAAGAGATCAAATTAACATACTTGGGATTGCAAACTTAGGTTTGGGCCACGAATGATCGTTTATTCGAATCGGGACAAAATTTAGCGCTATGTTAAGCAATCGTAAGTGGACTTATGTAGAAGTCGCACCTATTTTTTAGGCCGGTCAATAGAAATCTATGCACCATTTGTTTTGAGACATGATATAGAGATCATGCTCCAATAACACTTAGTGCAATAAGAAAGGGATAAGATGAAGAGGGGTGGGAAAGAACATACAAACCACATTTGAATTAAATTTTAATTAAACTATTATTAAAATCATTCATCCATTTTTATGGAGTTAGACTTAACACCATGGATCCAATGGTGTTAACAAAGTTCATAATAAAAAATTCAACGCAAGATCAGTCAGAAAATAATCACAAAATAATATTACATTTAATATATGCATTAAAATGGGTTTTAAAATGTTTTAAAATAGAAATAAGAGAGAAAAATATCAACTATGTTCAAATTAATCAAGAAAAATTAAGTAAGACCATAGAAAAATCAGAAATGAACTAAAATAATTTTATAAAATTTTTGGGAATTTTTTAAAGTCAAAAACTATTTTTATAAATAAAATAAATGAGTAAAATGAACCAAAAATGACAAAAAAATACCAAAGTCATAAATAAAAAATGAATGAGGTCACCAATATTAGTCATAATATCATAGGATCATTCCATAATTTTTTAAGAATTTAAAAGTGCATAAAAGTATTTTTAAACATTTAAAATAAATCAAATAAAGTGAAAATTTATAAAAAATATCAACACACAAAATAAAATTATGAAAAAATAAAAATCAGAAAGAGAAAAATCAAAAATATTTTTCATAATTTTTTCAGATTTTTTGGACTAAAAATGAATTTTCTATGATTTTTTGAAATTTAAAACATATAAATATAAAAATCAGAAAAGAAAAATAAAGTCAAAAATATGTGAACCATTGGATGAGATTCAAAACACGTTAGTAATCAAATCCAAGGGATCTGGCGCGCTGTGCATATCATGGTCATTAGTGAATAAAGCACTGAATCAAATGTAAATCAGAAATTTAAAAAAAAATGGCTTTGTTTCATTGGTTAGAGGATGACACATTGGTCATCTTCAACCTCCAGCCAGTGTCAAAACCAAGTTGCTCAATCTGTAAAATTAGAGCACGGGACCTATGTCATTCGCTTCGTCTCTTCAAGACGAAGACAACCACACCTTCGCGATAAATTTATATAAACTATAGCTCAAGCAATTTGGAAGGAAAGTTTTGAAAAGAGATTTGAAATTTCATGGTTAAAACATGTTTCCAGATAAAAGTAAGTGTTGTGACTAGAACCAGGGCAATGAGAGCATCACAATGATATCAAAGTTTTGAAGAATTGATGGAGAAATCTACCTATTGAAGTTGAGTTGCAGAGTTCTGAAACTGGACTTCTATAGAGCAATATAGGACACGATTCTTGAAGGTAATTATATGGTTAGTTTCAGGGAAGATCAAGGGAGGTAAATTGATTGAAAAATTGGATTGAAAAAGGCTTGAACACAGATTTCGAAGTTGTAGAAATTTGAGTTATGGAACAAGTTTGACAGGGTGATTCTGGCTATCCAAGCTTGAGAAAATGAATGAGGTATGACCCTCTATTTATCGGGAATCAAATGGAATGTCCAAGCGTGTGAAATGATGAAGTTTGGAGGGAAATCGTGTGAAGTTGCAAACAAGAAAAGTGTGACTTCTAATTTGATCAAAACTCATCCAAAACGCGTGTTTTATTGTTCTAATCACTTCTGGAAGTTCACTAAACATGTTTAGAGGCAAAAACGTGCAGAAACAAAGTGTTTAGAAGCTAAATCAATGATTTCAAATTCTGACTTTTGAAGAAACTTCAGTTTCAAGTTACCAAGTTCAAATCAATGACATTCTCAGCTCAAGGGTTCTTAGGGCATGATTCTTGATGCTTTAGAAAGATGATGTTACAAGCTTTACAATGGAAAAAGAATGAAATCAAATGGATGCTTGAGCTGAAAGTTGCATTGAGTCAAAGTTGGAGAAAAAGGGTTGACTTTCCATACTTAGAAATATTTCAAATTTTCTTCAAAAGTGACCTATAATGTTTTGCATCCAAACATGGCCTTCCACTTGGAATTTGCTCTTGAACAAAAAATATGGCATGAAATAGACTTCTTAAATGACACTTTGAAACTTGAACAATTCAAAATATCCAAAAATTGAGAAGTTATGAATTGTTGAAGTTGGCAAAAAATCATGAAATGACCTATAATCTTTTGTATCCTTAGGGCATCTTCCATCCATTTTCTCACTTTTCATATAAAAGAAGGGATAAAGTTCACATCCTAAAGATCATTATGGAAAAGGAGTTGGACCAAGGTGATACAAATTGACCAAGTTATGATCATTTGAAGTCACACATGGGAAATTGGGGGTTAATCTAAGGACTTGTAATATTTCTTCATCATCAAGCTTCTTCCACATGAAAACTCCTTGAAACTTTTGAAGTTATTTGTTGATAACCCTTTGAAGAGAAGGATGTCTTTAGAATCACTCAAAAATACCAAAATATGAGCAAGATATACTTCTTTGAAGTTCAAAACCCTAGCTCCTAGATCAAGAAAATGCTTTGAGGAACCTTGACAATTTTGAACCACCTTCTTGTACCAACACTCTTGCTTTGTAGATAGAAGTTATTGAGGATGATAATGAGAACTCATAGCAAACAAAACCAACTCCATATCTTGAGAATTGAGAGAAATATGCACTTGTGACCAATGGGAACAAGGCCTTGTCCAACCATGACAACTTCTTCAATCAACCCCTTATACTTTTGAATTAATCTTGATATCTTGGAAATGTAGTGAACCAAAATAACATTTCCATGCCATCCCTTCCAAAACAACTTCAATGGTGAGGTTTGGACTTCTCAAGCTTTATTGACTAGGGCATGGAAATAAACTCATGAACCCATGGAGCAACTTGGTAAATCTCATTGCCTTTACCTACATTAGTAACAAGTAAGACAAACCAACATTGCACTTTATTAATTAAAAGGAAAGTCAAAACAAAATATGTATTATCACAAAAGAAAAACAAGTCAAGGTGCTTGGTGATTCCTCAAAGAGCAAAGCTGGAGATAGGGAGGAGAACCAAAAGCCCTAATATGATCTTGTTGTGATTGAATCAACATGGTATGATGAAGGGATCTTAGAGTCAAAAATTGGGGCACAACACTCATGTAATTATAAATAGATGGATTACAATGAGGAATGACAAGAAGCCAGAATTTGTGACACTATCTACATCAAAAAAAGAAGAAGAGTTAATGCAAAAATAAAATCTAATGGATGATATGAAGTGTTCATGAGATGATACTGGAGCTAGAAGAGATATCAAAGGACCTTCAAGTCATAATTACAACCTGTTCACCCATAAAGAAGAAGGTGGATGATCTACTTAACAAGTTGACAAAGGAAGAGAAATATGATAAAGAAGAAGATGAAAAGGATGAGACATCTGGGAGTGAGGAGAAAAAATCTTCTAACATTATAGAAGATAAGGAAAGTCCTGAAGAATAAATCTTAGGAAAGGAAGACGCCTTCCACGATGTGCCAGACATCTGGTAGGACAAATGCATGTCTTTTGAAGCTGGTTATTGAAAGAAAAAAAATTGGGGCCTTAGTTTTTGGATAGTTCTTTTAGGTGTTGTAATAACTATAAACTTTACACTTCCTGCACTTTATGTACTATGGTTCAACATTTATGATATGATTCTATAATCTTAAGCGACATAGCTTCTTTTAGGCTAATCTAGTTGTGTAAGTGCTACCATACTATCTTTGCATGTCTAACATTTGCTTGTCATTTTAATGTGCTAATCCTTTTCTGAATTATGGAAAAATGGGGGGAGTAATGGTGTGGTGTGATCTATGTTAGTAAGTGTGACTAACTAACAAGTAACATGAAATTGTTTAATATTGACTATCTGGTAAGTACTAATGAAGTGACCATATGCTGGAGCATCAGGCAAGACATCTGGCCTTTTTGGAGTGAGCTTTTGTGTTAGTAGTATTATGCATATCCTGATACTAACTACTAATTTTTTCTGTTATGCATGACTAAGTATGTTAATGATTGCATGTTGATAATTATTAGTTGGTAATATTGTATGTTTCTAACTATGCATTGACTGAGTACCATGCATGACTAAGATTGTGAATGATTGTATGAGTGACTGATTGTTATGGAGCATTGTTATTGTATGGAAATTATTCTGATTGCTACTAATTTTCTGGTGCTGAGCTACAAATCAGATAACTTTGGTGAAAGATGTTATTGATGATAGTGCATGCTCAAATAAACTTTTGTTGTATGCCACTTGTTCTGATTGAATAAATGCTATTTATCTTGAAGAGTTGTTTTACCATAATTTGCCAAAGGGGGAGATCGTTGTTCTTTTTTTGGATAGACTACATTATGCAAAACAATAACATGAAGAAGTGTTAGATATTGCTCATCTACTTCAAGTTGTTTTCTAGTGTAGAAGGAATGCATACTGGACACGACGTCATAACATGTGGGTACGACATCTAGTCCTTGCTTAATAGGCTATAGTGTTGCATTTTGGAAAGATTTTCTATGGAAGATTCAATTATATTTTATTGCTTTTATTTATAAATATGATTATATGATTTGTTTGACAACTGTGAAGATAAAATCATATATTTTTGTTGGAGAGATTTACGGGGAACAAATCATATCCAACTGATTGTGCAACTATTCTAGGAAAAATAAAATCCAATATCCAAGGAGAAAAGCCCAAAATACTTTTCTATATAGGGAACTCAAACCTACATTGTAAAAGAAGCAATATCCATTGAATATTTTTAGAGTGTTATGGTTTATTTGAGTCTTTTTTATTGCTTTATATACACCACACTATGTTTCAGTAACTTGATGTAGTTGCAGGTTTGTATAGTTGAGTTGTAAATCAATATTCGACATTTGACATTGGTTTAGTGATTGAGAGACAGTGAGATGGGTTCTCATATTTTGGGGGAGACCTAAATAGAAAGTAATTAAGTAGTGTTAGGAAGAGACATTGACAACAAGAGCTTATTGTTCCTATAAGACTAAGTGTACTAAACTACTAATAGTGAACTTCCTTTCTTGGGTTGGAAGCTAACATTTCAGACATATGTGTTGTTTCATCGAACTGGGTTACCAATTATTGTGTTCTTTATTTCTTTTAAGCTCCATGGTATTTTATAAGTTATACCGTGTTACTTGTATTAATTCTAATTTAACTTGTCGAAGTAGTTGTCAGGACATCACATTTGACATATGTCCCTGAGGAATAGAATTTAAGCATCTTCAGATGCACCCCATTCACATTTGTTTTTGAGTTAGACCCTAAGGTTATGTCAAAAAAATGGAAATGCATCTCCGTATAATTTACAAAGATGCATCTCCATACTTTTTTTAAAACCAAATACACGTCATAATTTCTTCTCCTTCCTCACTTCTCAACTCTCAAAATTTAACTCTCCAAACTCTCAAAATCTCTCAACTCTCAAACTCGCTCAACTCACAAATTTTCAAACTCATTCAACTCACATCCAAGTTTCTACCATCAACATCCAATCGATCAATAGCTCAACGCTAAACTCACATTTGATAATATTTTATTTCTCTATACTTTTTGATTTTGATATACATTTGTAGAAATTGAGCATTAGATTATATAATAGGTAGTTTAATATGTTATTTAATTGAGAAATGTGTTTGCTAAGGAGTTAAAATGATCAATGCATTTTTTTAACATTTGATTCGAAGGCATTTATGCCATTTTCTGTTCTTCTGAATTGCAGGACAATCCACTAATGTATCTCCAATTTTTTTCAACATTTTGATTTTCAGAATCCGAAGATGCATTTTTGGATTTTTTTCTGTCTGCATTGTTTGACTTCATTTTATCTTGTTTTTCATCAGCATATTGCTTATGTGATTTAATTATAGACATTATGGCTAATAACCAAGATATATTGGGCACTACAAAGTAGTGAGCATGCATCGGTTCAGAGAGAAAGAGTTTGATCATCGCATGCACCAGTGGGTTCTAATTCGATTGATGTGGAAATGTCAACTTCTGGGGCTCATGCATCTCTGCCTTGATCTTCCCGTAAGAGGCAGGTGTCACCTCCTGATGCCTCAGAAGCCCCACTGGTACATGTTGAGGCACCGCAGGCACCCGAGACACCCCAGGCACCCTAGGGGTTTTGGAGGAGGCCCGTCCGACTTATCGTTGTTGCATCTGTATCTAGACCATGTTACTAGGCATGTGTGGGATATAAAGGTAAAAATTAAATTGTGTTCATTCCTTGAAACACATTTTTATAATATTCGAAGTTTTTTACAGTGATTTATTTTTCTATAGGACCGTGATGGGTTAAAATGTATCAACCATGGTCGAAAGATTGATGGTCTTCTGCAACCTGTTGAGAAGTGGTTTCCAGATATATTTTTTTCATATGTATATTTATTATGTGGTTTAATTGTTGACATTATGGCTGATAACCAAGATAGATTGGGTACGACAAAGTAGTGAGCATGCATCGGTTCAAAGAGAAAGAGTTTGATCATCGTATGCACCAGTCAGTTCTAATTCGGTTGATATGGAAGTGTCAACTTTTAGGGCTCATGCATCTCTGCCTCTGTCTTACTATCAGAGGAAGGTGTCACCTCTCGATGCCGCAGAATCCCCACTGATACATGTTGAGGCAACGCAGGCACCCGAGACAGCCGAGACACTCTAGGGGTTTGGGAGGAGGCCCGTCCGACTTATCGTTGTTACATCTATATCTAGACAATGTTGCTAGGTATGTGTGGGACATAAAGGTAAAAATTCAATTGTGTTCATTCTTTGAAACCCACTTTTATAATATTCTAAGTTTTTTACAATGGTTTTTTTTTCCTGCTGGACCCGTATGCTTTAAAATGTATCAACCATGGTCGAAAGATTGATGGTCTGTCGCAACCTCTTGAGCAGTGTTTTCAGGATGTGATGCAACTATGTGGGCTGCAATATGTTACGATTAACCATGGTATGATGTCTGCGTTTATAGAGAGATGGAACGCAGACGTCATTTTTTCATCTTCCACATGGTGAGATGTTCATTACACTGGACAATGTCTCATGCTTGTTGTATCTTTCAATCAGGGAAAGACGATTAGACCATGCCAAGATTAATAGAGTTAAATCAATGGAGATGATGGAGACCTATCTGAGAGTTGACCCAAGTGATGCCTTGCAAGAGTTAGAAGCAATCCAAGGGTGTCATGTTAGGTTTCAATTTTTGGAGAGGTTGTATGCACAACAGCTGCATGCGATAAAGCAAGCCGCTAGGTATGATGAGTAGGTTGTGCATATTATACCATACATATTGAGAGCATACATGTTGTATCTGGTTGGCAATCCATTTTTGTGGACAAGAGTGCCACTTATGTGGAGGTGGTTTACCTAAGATATTTCGCTGACTTGAAGTAGATTCGTGAATACAACTAGGGGCCACTTGTTTGGTGTACCTATATTCAAAATTAGTTTAAGTTTGTATGTGGAAGACCAAACAAATGACAGGAAGATGCACACTGTTGACGATAATATATTTGTATATTTAGTGTTCAGGTATCATTTTCATAATACTTATGCTACATATTACTAATAATTCATATGTACCATTTTCAGGCTTGAATCATCCAACACTTCTCACGCATATCTGGATGGTCATATATTCCGACCTACACTGAGGATATGCCACATGCTTTTGTATTCACCCGACTTAGAAGGAATCAGACGATGAAGCCCTTTAGAGTGTATCTTGACTGATTGGTAGCAGAAGATATACACTTTCATGTATACCCCAATCCCGTCAGACGCGTCCCTTGGATAATATAACTTTTTACTCTAGATGGTTGGTTTACGAGTTACATATGATGTATCCATATCTTCCTGAGTGCGTAATGTGGCAGTTTGGCTACATGCAATTTGTTGCTAGATACCCCTCTAATTATGTTTCTCCTACTATGATCCATATAGATGTGGATGTCATGTTTGATGATTACCTTAATCATCTGGTATTGGATGAAGCATATTGTACCCTTTCTCTTAATGACTAAAGTGTTGTATACAACTATATATCATGGTATTTCAGGGTGTCACGTCCTTATATGACACCGGATGCTCCAAGTGATCGACCTAGGCCAACTTATCAGGAGATACTAGAGGAGCGGACTAGGAGAAATCATACTTTTGATGTGTTTCCTAGATGTTAAGGTATCTTGAAGATTGGACAAACGAGTATAGATAGAAGATTCTTTCTGGAAAGCTCTGAGGTGAGGGACATTCTGGATGCCATCATGGATGAGATACAAACAATACTGCAGTACAGAAGGTGTAACACCCCATTTCTACCCAATGAAATATATAAAATCAAAGTTACAAAATTTCCAACAAACAAATGGAATGCTACACTTTCAACTTAGAAACAACGACATTCATTCACATATAGTTCAAATACAT